TATTTCCCAAACAGGGTTAACTATTTTGTGACCCTTCTTTACATAGTTTTTCTTTAAAAATTAGCCAGAAATTCAATATTTGCAAAAGAGGGTTGAAACAAACACTAAAATGACAGGCAATTATTGCTCTAACATATTCTTTTGTCAAATTAAATTTAGTGCAATTAGAATGCACACCATGGGCTGGTCCTTTCTTACCCCATGAAGGCTGCGATCCTGTCTTACCCCATTTGACTATATAAAGCCAATAATTAATGCACACCTCACACGCTAATTTTTTATATAGTTCATAGATCATTATTTAATTTGGAATCTTCACCTGGAAAGCGAACTGTATGCTTCTAAAGCGGTAATGAATATGTGAAGACACATTGTTAATATAATATATAATAGTGAAGATATAATATAATAATAGTGAAGACAAATTATTCAGGCAGTACTTCTGAAGATAGCGCGCATAGCAACACAACTGCACCGAAGTGAGGAGCAGAAAAGCGCGAGCAGGTCTTGAGATGACAAGCGAGCATTAGAACACCTCACTAAAAAGGACCGGTTGCTGGGTGACCGCTACAAGCCGCGTCTTGTCTATGTGGGTCACTGCTTGCTCACTCAACATCACTGAAGCAGTCAATAATCATTATTTCTTGCCGAACGAATAACACCCGTCGATATCTCTACATAATATGGATGACTCGACTGACACCTGGGCCCATACTTTCAAAAAAAGTTAAGAGTTCGTAAGTTCATCAGCCAATCATTGACGGCCTTTCTAGCAAAATCCACCAATCATAGACAAGAAAATAGAGCGTAAGTGCTTACGTTCACTTAGCGAGTTTTAAAAGTATGGCCCCTGGTGCGTAACCAACCACCTACATAACAATGCAGTAGCCAGCTTACGGCCACGATTCTGCAAAACAAATGTTCATCACTTGTCCGGTGATAAACGATTCTGTTTGAGGTTGGAACCGAGTTGCCCTGGCGCATTGCTGGATGCTGAGCTAGTTATTTTCTGGCGCAAGCAGAACTTGATCATACAAAAGTGTAAAAATAACGAGTTTGTAAACTTACGCGTCTGGCATCCATTGAGCCCACTAACCGGTACTGCTTTTTCAAAAAGCAATCTTTCCTTCGTTCCTCATCTTCTACACGGTCGAATTAAGCACTGATAAAATAAATGTCAATATAGACTAATACCATACGCGACACGATCCAATACAAAACAGAAAAGCCAATAATTATGATGAGCGAATCAGAAATAGGAACTATTAAACGGAAACCACATCACTTCAATCGCGAGCAATGATAAATCTTAGGAGTGGAATTTGAGTGATGCAAAAAAAAAAACCTTGACTACACACCTCATCGTACGAGACATTTTATCACTATAGCAATTCACCATGAATTTGTAAGCAACACACTAAATGGACCTTCTTGATAATTGTCAACCGATAATTCACCTAAGAGAAGCCAATAATCATGATGAGCGAATCAGAAATTACTTCCTCAACAGCTTCAACTTAAGTATCACCGCGAAGCAAGTGTTGCAAACGTACTAGGCAACGCGCCATGGAAGACGCCTAGAGCTCAGTGGCCTGAGGTCACGAGTTTACCAGCATATGTGTTGCTTTCAAGAAACCCTTACGTGGTTAATTGCGGCAACACAGACAATTGACCTCAATAATGGACAGCGATATCATTGTTCGGAGGCAAACAATAAAGCGCGATACTGTCGCCACAGCTACCAGCTGTCGTGTCAGGTGTCCACACCCACCGTCACCTGGGCCACGGTCAAACAACCACATTTTTGATAGCCTGTAAATTTGTTCTCCTATCCAAACACTTTTTACAATAAAGAAAAATATTTCTAGCGAATAATGATATTTTCCGGAAAAAAACACGCACAATCGCTATAAACGGAGTACCAAGAAACTAAAATAACTTGCTTAGACGAGAACATAGGGCGGTATTTTCAGCTCGAAAAGAATGAATTCTATACTTTTACAAACAATAGCAAATAAAACTTGAATTATCCGAGCAGAAGTGTACAGTTCAATATATCATCAGTAACCAGTATCACGTTACGATCGTGACCCTGGCATGGATAAGTAACATTTAACAAGCATAGATCACTGTTGATAGTCAATAATTCTGTCTGTCATCCAGACTTGATCCTCTTGAAATGAATTACAAGAAGTAACATACGTTCCTTTCAGGGGGCATTAAGCTTCATGGCTCGAGTAAATGCAAAAGGTTGAGCAACATACGATAATATTAGACTACAGCTTGACACATCTCAGACCCCGCTGCAATTATTTATTGAAACCCTAACAAGCGTCAACGTAATTCCCATCCTTATCAAGTCATATATATAATGATGGTCGTGACGATGATACAACAATAGTATTGTGGCAAAGGCAGCAGCAGGCAAGCAGAACGCCATAGTAACAACTGAGGCAGCAGGCACAGAGGCGAAGACTAGATATATATATAAGCGAACGGCACTTCCTGAGACAAGAAGCTTTCTCCATATGCCAGGTTTCTCGCCCCATCTCCCTCTCTCTTACTACACTGTAGAGTGTAGAACAACACCCACGTGATTGCATGCATGTCACTGGCATCACAGCGACGCAAGACTTTCAGTGATACCACATGTGACAAACAACTATTAGCTCGAAATGGTTGCGAAGCGTAAAAGGTTTTCAAACGATATTTTTATAATGCTAACTAAATTAGAATCAAAAATGTTTACGGATATTCAGGCAGTGTGGATAATGAGATCGACATGAAACTACACTTTTCTGGCTATGTAACAACCATTAAATACAAGGACCTCCCGTGACACGAACAAACGACCTACTCGGCTGCACTATAAGGACTGCTATTGAGTTTCTAGCATCGCGATAGGAAATATGCTAAAATATATTGTAGATTGTTTGCACGGTGTTTGAGCTAATGGCTAATAGCAATCAAAGTGCATTAAACATCAATGCAAGTGAAGTTTCTACGAAACGGATTTTTAATAAGAAATGCATTGGCAGGACTGCTCGATTTTCCGAATTATTGGGGTCTTGCGTTAACGGGAAATTCAAGAGAATGGCGCTCTTGCAAGGCGTGTTTTAAAACGTGAAAGAAAAAAACTTAAAATAAAAAAAAAATGCTAACAACAATCGGTACCAATGCAAATATATTCGTGCAAAAATACAGCTTTTCAAAATCGAAACAAACAGTTCGGAACTTTCTAGAAATATCACAATACTTTACCTAATAGTGGTTCAAAATACGATAAATTTAGCGTACACAACTTGGCTCAATCTCGCGGTTTCAAGTCTTTATTCTTTTCAAACCTCTCATAAGCATAGTATCAATTTACTGACTAATTAACACTTTTCAACTCACAAGAGCGCCATCTATAAGGAGAATGCACGTTAGTTTGAGGCACGAGCAACGAATTTTGTTATACTGAACAAGGATAAGGACTTTCACAGCCGATATCAGCAAGCAAGGAAAACTTAGCCGCGGGGACGAATAATTCCCTCCATACAAATGACGTTGCAACGACATTGATTACATGTTGATTTAGTTAAATGAATGTTAAGAGTCGATTTCGTTGGAACAACCTTTGATTAACGATATTCCAACGACGTTTAATCAAAGTTATTCCAACGACGTTTAATCAACGGTATTCCAACGACGTTTAATCAACGTTATTTCAACGACGTTTAATCAACGATATTCCAACGACGTTTAATCAACGATATTTCAACGACTTTTAATCAACGTAATTGCAACGCCAGATGCCTCATGGATTACTTTTTACAAGTGACCCAAATGATCATTTCCATAATAATTCCATTAGCTAATATTAGTTTCACCTAAATTCTAGATGTGTGCAACAAACACGCCACCGACAAATGAAATTGGAAACAAAATTATCTACAGCGTGGATCAAGTTAGCAGAATGTACACCAAAAGAAATAGTTAATAATATTAATAAATAATAATAGCTAATATTGGTGAGCGTTCAGATATCTTCATACTACATTCGTACCTCAAAGCATATTGAAACACACAGAACCACAAACAAGCAGGGACAATCAATGGCTATTGTCACTCTAATAGTAATAGACTAGCTTTACGTAAGCAATATGCAAGTTCAAAAGCGCGCCTTAGGAGCGGGGAAAAGATTAAAGAACAATCCTGTAAAAATACATGAAGGCATTAAATAAAAAATCTAAGTAAAATCTTATAAAAAATATCGTCTTATAACTAAATACAATCGGTGTAAAGAGAACAAAAGTTGAGAACTCAATCTCAACGTAAAATAAAAAAGTTTTAGTACAAGACAGAAGAATAAGAAAAATGATCACATGTACATTGTATTCAAACAATTGAAAGCGATATTCTGATTGCCACAGTGAAGCACAGCTAAGTAAACACAATTCTTCCATCGTTAATTACGAAATATATTACGAAACATCACATATATCATGTTAACAACTGCGAAGGCTCAAGATACACTCATTTATTATACACTAACTTCACTGTAGCCTTATTGAGCACCGCACATAAAATCACTGATGTTAATATTTAACACTCCGGAGTTCAAAGCACTTCCTTTTATATTTCACTTTTAGGTAAAGATTACTTCAGAAGCACAAATATTTTCCACTTGCAGCACTATGACACTTTGTTTTGGCACTGTGATAAACACGTAAGATACCGCTCACTGTATCAAGAATAAACTGCATTACGGGTTCCACCGACAACATTGATAACATCTTACAGGTAAAAATGAGGTAAATACACAAAGATGTTTCGCAGTTAAGAGCACACATAATGAAATTGAGTGACACTCGTAAGATACCAGCAGACTCAAAGGCCACGTCCCTGCTATAACTAGTAACATGAAATCGTGACAATAAAATGCCCATCAATAAGAATCACCAGCAATATAATTATCATCAGAAAATAATATACGCGAGGCCAAGTAATATACTCACCCAGTGGCAAATCTAGGGCTCCTTGATCCGAGTGGAGTCTGAGATAGGCCTTGTGCCTGTGAGGGACCAGAGGGATAGTGGCTTACACCAGAGCCAACAGAGCTACCACCCGACGACTGAGCTGCACCTCCAGAGGAGTAGTGGCCGCCTGACAGCGATGCCACTGACGGTTCATAATACGTTGTTTTCAAGATGCGATCGTCTATACGGTGGTCAGCTTTGTGGGCTTTGGCAGCAGAACAAATGTCAACGAAGGCGACGGTGTAGCAGTTGCCACCACCGTTGTTATTGTTGCTGGCATTATTGTTGCTTGCGTCGCTACTATCAGACGGCCCATTGAGGTGCTTCACACTCTGCACCGGGCCATACCTGCAAGAAGATAACAATAAATTAATGTGTGAACATGTAATAAAGTAAATAAAGGACCACAAATTAAAGTAACTGGCAAGTAAATAAATGACGAATCACAGATAAATAACAGACATGATTATGCCCATTTGGATCGGGAAGATACGGTGTATGTGTTATCCCAACGATACAATACAATCTCTTAGATCATAAGATGGCAAGTACCTCGAAATGACAGGTTGCTCCTACTCTTCCAGACGCACTTTTGTTCGAATAATATTGATTACAATAATTACATCTGCATTGAAGTAGCGTCACTCATAGCTACACCACGAGTGCACACCTTGAGAATCTGTACCACGCATCCAACGTCGAAATGCTTCTTATGGCTTAGTGTAAAAAAATAGCTGAATTTTGAAGAAAAATAATGTCATATCTGATCAGAAATTCTTTAGAGTTTAGTTTCTCGAGCTGTCGAATAATAGGTACAATAACAGGGTAAACGATGCTTGAAATTAATCCAAATGACAGGTCAACAAAATCAGGCAACGAGTTTCGCTCATCACCGAGCATGATGAGTGGAGGAGGAGCTTCCAGGATGGTTGCAGGGTAGACTACATTGAACTAAAACGCAATAAATTATAATTTAAATGAACTTCCAGAAGATGATCCGTGATGGGCGAAACACGTCGTCACTTTGAGACTCGTCGACCCTGCTTTTGTACAAATCTTTAGAGGGCGGAAGAAAATGAATTTAACTCCAAACAAGTTTGAAATGAAAATGACATTCTTTCAAACAAATTTCTTCTGGTGAAGGGCTCTACCTAAAATAAACGAATGCTATAGCAAAGAATACAAAGACGCAACGGTTCAAATCAAACGTGGGCAGAAGCAGATAATTTAAATCAGAATTGATCAAGGAAAGCCTCTTTACTGCTCGTATCTTACGTGCCCTATTAGTGAACTATTAGGGTAAAAATGAGCTCGTTACGCGACTAAGTCATTCACAACAGATCGTGCGTTAGAGGCAAAAAAAATCACACTGCTAGATCATTTCATGATTAAGGCAGGATCTGAATATGGGATAAGCATACATTGTACATTACTCCGTACGTTGTGAACGTCACTGTACATTACTTCGTATACACTATACAGTGACGACGCTGTCCATCCATAATCATGTGGTGTTGTCACTAACTTAGCTGAATTAATCAGTCCTGAACTTGGAGCACAATTATCGGGTTATTGGTCTACTATCTCAAATGAATTTATCAGTCACGAACATGGAGCACAAGTCATTATTAGTTAGCGCTTATTGTATCTTCGACTTATTAGTTTTGTAATGCAGCTTATGATGTAGCGACGACCAACATAACAATTATTGAGCAGCAAATCAAGCGCAGAAAAGGCGTCATGGCAAGGGTTCATTCCCGGCAAGCTCGATGAGGAGTGTGAACAATAGAGAAGAGGAAGGGAAGTGCAGCAACGTGAGACAGGAGGGGGACATCAGCACTAAAACATCAATCAATAAACGATTCACGGTTGAGGGCTCCGGACTACCATGGTTACTAATGTTTGCGGCGCACACCCTTGCCTTGTGCACCGCCGCGCTCGCCCCTCCGCTCACTTCATGAATGTCAACCTTGACACTGAAATGTACTCATCTACGCTCATGTCCTTAGGGAATAAAGCTTAGGTAGGACGCCTACGACAGAAACGTCTTTGTTTCACAGCACATCTAGTGAGGCGAGAGGAGCAGTCGCAGTAAAGCTTCATCTGGAGCAATGTTCACAATTCAAGATATTTGTTACACGGGTACTAGCGATTCAATGCCAGCCACAATTTATAAAAAAATTTACAGAAGTTGAGACGAGATAGAAGGCAAACATGTGTGAAGAGTACGATCATTGAATACTGAAACTGCGCAGGAAATACGATCATTCGACGTCAAGAATTGACGAGCGCCAAGGCTGAACAACAGTAATGATACACTGGTGATACATACACTCGGTCTATGGAGTGTAGCAGATGGAAAGTATTCCCTCGGCCCAACATTACGGAAACGATCGTTTTTGCTAATAACTTGAAGCGCAAATTTAGAAAATCAACACGAGAGATTTCAAAAACTGAACACACCCAAGAATGCGTCTGAAGTGGGGCGTAGGAAAATGTTTCAAGCCATAACTTATCTCAACATCTTTTAACCCATGGCAATAAGTAAATAACGGAGCTCTCCATTAGAAACATGTCGGTGTAAACGTCACGTCCAAGCCGTATTATAAACAATCATCGCAATGAAAAGTATGTCACAACAAATAGACAATAATTAAGTAGGCGGCCTGACCAAATATCAGCATGAAGTGGTGGTACAAAGCAGCATCAGCAGCAGTTCTCCGATACACTAAGACCGGATCTAGGAACAGGGAACGAACGGCTGCTGGCGCTGCAACCCTCTACACCAGCGGCTACATCACCACTACGACGTCAAAAACATCAACAATAGCAGGAACCACGCAACCAACGGCACACTAGAGTGCGGAGCAGCAGAACATTTGGCACAAGCGCGCACACCAGCCGGCCTAGCCACATCATAGGAGAGGCGGAGACTTGGCACCGTTGCACCAGCGAAGCTATGGAACGATACACCACCTCACTCGTGCACACACGCACACGGATCATCAGCATACAAACACATACAAATTACTGCTTCATTAGCACATTAATACACCATTATTCAGATCAAACGACACATTAATACACCATTATTCAGATCAAATTTCGAAATAATGATTGTTTAAATCAATTTACGAAGTTCGATTTTATGAATAAATATAATAAATTCCTTTCTTGCAAATAGCGGCAAAACATTCAATACTTGGTGAGGCATGTAAAATGGCAAAAACCATTCATAAAAGACCTAAGATAATTAGTAGGCTTGAAGTGAATATCATACCAGTGTAGCACTACACAGCAGTATTCACATTTTACGTCGGCTAATGAGAAGATTCGAGTCACATAACTGGCCTGGTGAGTTCTTATTCTCAGTACAGTCATTGAAATAAGAACTTCCAGTATGTACCAACAAAGTTCATATTCAAGATCCCAAGATGGATGTCAAACGATAATTGACGAGAACTGAATATTCCCTATTGTGTTAAATAAATTTCGCTACATTATCCACGAGGAGGCCAGGCTACATTTTCTTACATAGAGATCACGTCAAGAGACCTTCATCTCAGCATTGAAACACAATTATGATAATATGATTCCATTCTTCACAAAAATTTACCAGCTACTTCCCTTTAAGTACAAGGCATTTCGCTAATGACTAAACAATTAACCGTCTGAAGCTAAAATCAAGGCGCTATTGAAACCTCGCTAATGAATGTTAGGCATGGCTCGAGTTCCTACTGCAAATCTTACACCATACGTATAGGCCCACAATCTCATATGACATGCACCACTGTCTCATCACATTCATTCTTGACCAGGTGACACGCTGAGTCAGAAATCATGGCTGCGAATTCTAGTTTTGCAACCAGCAATGCGCCAGAGCAACTCAGCTCCGGCCTCAAGCATGAGGCTCCGGCTGCTGCTACAGTAACCAAGCATATACACAAAGGACCATCTGCTGCTGCGGAGTTTCATTTATCCTCAATGCTTTTCTTAAACGAGTTTCATCTGCTCATATTTCCAAAAAAAAAACGCATCCAAGTGCACGTTACCGGAACTGGCATAAGAATTTATTTAAGTTAATACGATAGTTAGTTCGTTAGAGCAACGACACTGCATGAGAAGGAACTAACATCGACATGGAAGTTTCTAAAACTAAGTTTCTCGCGCAACTCCTCCAGGAGCAACAACGCAACTCCTGCGAATAAAGCAACTCAAGTTTAAAAGTCGTTCACACGCATACTGACTGACGACCTTGTATGGAGCTTCAAATCAGAATGCGCTATAGGCATTAATGAATATTACACGAGAACGTAAGGTATAAGAACCATGCCTGTCATCACACATACACACGCGGCCTAGCGTGTACGTGTGTGTGTACATGCGTTTATCTGTCTCAAAGTACGCACACGGCTACAAAAGCATACAAGAACTGTACACGAGCCCCCCCAACCCAACAGAAGCCCCCTATCAACACATCGCCATATACAGCATTTAGTCACTTAGTATTGTTCATTGCTACTGAAATAAAATAATATAAATTTCTATGAATACTCAACATATTATAATGCGATACGCTAAGAATGTAAATAAATTATAGACCAAAACGACATTCACTTCCCGGTGTCCCTTTGCCGCAAATCGCCCCATTCTCCCGCCATCTCTCCCTCACCCCAACTCCCGCGTCCCCTCCAAACGCCTTGGGCCAACTCTCGTTGCCTAGCGTCGCCACACATTTCAGTCTTCCACGTCAACAAACACTTTAATATTAACAACATTCTTACTGAATACGATTTTAAAATGAGTTACGAATAATAATATCATCATAATATATAACTAAAAGTGTATTTAATAATAAAAATTTAGTCAAATCGTCAGTAAACCAGCATTGAGGAAGATAATAGATTTTCCTAGCCTCGCACGGGCTTCCATCGACCGACTTAGCCTCGCACGGGAGCGCTTTCCGCACACTACAATCTTGGCTGTACTTTTACTAAATGCATCAATGGAATAGAAAAATAGTAAATCGATAAATCATCGTACTAAAATTGAAGAAATTAGCGGTTATCATTACAAAACGTTCATTAATATTTAGAGGTTATAAGTAGTTGAAACATTCGCTGATAATCGTAAACGGAACAAAGTTGGTTCAGAAATGCAGGCGCAAATTTAGATGCAGCTCATGCAGACGTACGCAACTCGTCACTTAAATTATGGAATTAACCCGAAATGTGAAACTTAACGATGGGGGTTAAAGTTGTGAGTGCTGAAGCAGAGATGATTAACGTCTCGAGTTAGTGAGCAAATGTAGGTGTGTTGCTAGTAGGTGGCGGGAAAACAGCATCAAG